TATTCAATGGCTAAATAACATGAGTACAAAGTTTGGGAAGCTATGCAAAACAGTACTGGCATAGAGTTTGTATTTTTAAATTTTTGTTGGCTCTCAAAAATGAAATGACACTTTTATTACAGTATCTTTTATGAATTCTTTGAGAGCAGGGAGTACTTATACATCTTCGTACCTCTGTGTCTAGATATTAGGTGCTCAAATTTTTGTTGATAGGACTGTAAATTTTCATCTCAGTGAGGTCATTTGATTTAATGGCATTTGAAATCTCAGCTTCAGGACGTAGACAAGTTAATGTTAACAATGATCTAACTGAAACACCAGAGGACCAATCTATGCTAGAAATTTTGCATATTATTCCTTTGTATATCAGGAAGTGATTTAACATAGGGAAAGGTGAATTAACATAGGGAAAGTTTAAACTGGAAAAAAACAATATAACAAATAGTTTAAATAGCTGAAGTGTATTTATGAATCACATTCAGACCGGCCATACTAACCAAGAATCTTAAGGATAAGCTCTGTTGGATAAACATCCTGAATACTGTTAACCTCTTCAAATGTTATGGCTTCTAAAAAAATTGCTACAGCCCTGACCGATGTGGCTCAGTTGGTTGGAGCACCATCCCGTGCATCAGAAGGTCTTGGGTTCGATTCCCGGTCGGGGAACATACCCAGGTTGCAGGTTCAATCCCCTACCGGGGCATGTACAGAAGGGAACAGATCAATATTTCTTTCTCAAATCAATGTCCCTCCCTTGCTGAGACTTATAATTTAAAAAAACAACAACAAAACTGCTACCATCTATTGTTTTTAATAGCCCGTCACTCACATGAATATAGAAAATTGAATTATGCAGCTATGTCATCCAAACTGACAGGTGGGCTTGGCATATTTGTTAGAATCACGTGAGGAGGACTGGAAAATTTCTTACATGACATTACACTGACCTTAAAATGTATACATTGCAAACAAAGTTTTAGTGTTTTTATATGAACCATGGGATCACCTGCAAAGGCAGCATGCTCTATTGTGGTGAATACCTGCCGGACAGTTGCACTTTTGCTAAAGCACATAAATGATTTTGGCTGAAATGTCACAGTATGGATATAATTTTTTTTTAAGTAACAGTAACAATAAAAACGGCACCTGGCAGTGTTATGTCCTCAGTATTATTTATACGAAAGCATAAAATGTAGAGGTAGTTGCAGATAATTTTTCACAATTTAACTCAGATTATGATGCGGATTTATGACTCGTATTCAGACCAGCCCTATAACCAAGATACTAATTCGGCTCTATGTCTCCTAAGCCGTTCTTCTGAAGACAGTCTTCTAAATCTGCCACAATGTTCCTATTTGGTTTCAGTTATCAAAGCAAAAATAAATTTAAAAAAACAAACTGACATTCTCCATTTAACTGTGTTCTTCTAAATGCAAACACAATAGGATTAAACAGGAGAGAGGTTTTAATATTAATACCTCAATCAACACAAACAGAAATTTGAAATTTCCTAGTTCTGTTTTCTCAGTGCATACTGACCACCCCTTCTTCTCATGACAAACTTACTTTGCTGTCTAAAACAGATCAAGAATTTTTTTAAAAATATGTCAGTGCAAAAATAAGATGTGCAATCACATTTTAACTGTTCTTTACAGAAAGCATTTCCTTAAATATGAGAAGCACCCTATGTAAAAATATCCGTATTTTTTAAAAAGCTATTTTACAGTAGGCTGTCCTGTTGTATTTGTGGACCAGTTATAAAGTAACTGTTTTTGTAAAGGGAACTGGGAGAAAGAGACCCACGGTTCAAAATGAACAGAAGAGGAGGGACCAGGGGACAGAGCATGCCACCGGGAAAGGTAATTCAGCACCCCTGGAGGCTGGGAAGACACTGTCCCCACATCTGACTCAAATCACTGGAAACTATGAGCTGGAACTAAGAAAGGTAAATAGAAAAACTCTGCCGTCAGATGACAGACAGTACCATTTCTTAGCTATAATCTAATTGATTTGTCTTGATCGTAACATAAAATGAAGCTAACTCACCTACCTTTCAAAGTTGTTGCAAGGATTAAGATAATAAACATACAAATAAATATGTATATGTTGAAAGGTCTGAGGAAATATTTACCAAAAATGTTAACAGTGATTATTTTTGGCTAGCAGACATACAGATATATATAAAATGCGTATCTGTATTTCCTAATTTTCATACAATGAGTAACTATTTCTTGTGTAACTGATGCACACAAGTCACTCAGCACAGTGCTGGCACACATATTGGATTAAAATTGGTGCCTATCAGCATTATTAATACAAAAAATAAAGCAAGGTATCATCTGCCCTTCCTTCTTGCTTTTGGATGCCTCTCTACGGAGGAAAAGAAGTTGATTCTACCACACAAAGTCCATGACAGACTTCCCACTCCTGAGTCCATGGAAAGGTCACAGTTTAGAGGAATGGATGGGTCTTTATGTGCTTGTGACTTAGAGCTGGAAAGAGCTGCCCAGCCATGGGAAAGCTCAGCAAAGCAAATCAAAACAAAATTTGTCCTGGTCATATAATAAATTAATGCATAAAATACCACCTATCTTCCCAGCTAACTGAATTTAGGAGGTTGCCTCAAAGAACAAACATTCCCAGATCCAACAAAGCAATGAAGATTTGGATTTTTTTTGTCATTAATTATATAGGATAGAAACCTAGTTCAACTTTATTGTCTGAATGGATTTTATTTTTGAAGTACCTAAACTAATTATTCACCATAGGCTTCAAGACTTGAAAATAAAGATCTTGGAAAAACTACCACAAAGAGCTGTTTAACCAAAATTATTATTATTATAATTGCAGGATATTGCAGATAAATACATTTGTATTTACTGTAGAAGAAATTTTGCACATTTTCAAGAATGCTTTGAATTCAGCTAAATCTGCTACCTAAAATGAGTGTCGATATTCCTTTGATCTCAGCTACCGAGTCCAGTAATCCCCTAGGGAAAAGATAGTGAACTTAATGCTTATACATAAATAATTCAAGAGGGATTTGAGCTTTGAAGAGAATGAGTTTTTTTGTTGTCTTAACTAGTGCTTCTAGATCTTTAGTAAGACTTTCCTACTCTCTACCTTCTCTTTATGCTTGATATAAAATATAATGCTTGGGAACATTTTCAAAGCTTCGGTAGTTTTAAATTGCTTCTAAATCTGATCATCAAATTTCATTTACACTGATTTCCTAGGGAACAAAAGAATTCTATCCAGGTTTAAGCATAATAGTAAAAATGAGCCATGTAACAGTCTTTTTTGCTGCAATATGGGACTTTGCATATTATTTTAAAGTTATATATGTTCCAAAAAGAATGGCACCTTTATTCTCTCCTTCTACTCCCCTTGCCCCCCAAAGGAAAAAAATGTTAGCTAAGCTTCTAAGTTTTCATACATTGCAAAAAACGAGGCACAGAAACTAAAATTCTAATTAAGCAAAAAAAAAAAAAATATATATATATATATATATATATATAATTTAATGTTGAGTTTATTATCAACACTTTCATATTCTGGATCTGACTGAATGTAATTTTGTGTAAGCAGTAAAGTTAGTGTTATCTCCTCCTGATTAGTAAAGAATATTAAAAATTAAATAAATAAAGTTATTTATTAAGAAGACTAACAATGAGCCGTGAGGTGAGGAGGAAAAGCAGGAGTTGAGGACACAAGCGTCTAAGGATGACTGTTTCCTTTTTGACAGTTTTTTTTGAAAAACGTAATCCCTTCTCTACTTTGTGTTGCCTGAGAGCCACTATGGTTTTATAAAATTCTGTAACAGTAATTACATGTCATCACCCACAGGGACATTTGTTTGAAGCCTATAAATACTATGTTCGTAATACTAAACTATCTCCCTTGCTTATTTGTAAAAAGAAAAATATATATTTTTATAAAGTTAACACTGAGGGCAGAGGAAAAGGAGTGAGAAGCAGTGTATAGTCACAGTTTCTCCGAACACAGTAACCACACCGGGGTCTGGCTCAAGCCACCTGGTCAAGCAGTGTCTGAGGAAGAGTCATAGGAGGCAGAGACGATGAAATTGCTGCTGTTGGAGTGCCCGGCCACCGACTGGGCAGCCTGCTGGCTCAGATTGTTACAGATCAGCACCAGCTGGTTGCTCTGGGCCTCGGACAAGGTGCTGCAGCTCTGGTACACACTGAAGTTGGTTTTCCTGCCGGGGATGTTGCCCTTCTCACACATGGTCTTCACCATCTTGGCCAGCTTGTTCTTGCCGAGCGCCTGGCAGTTGTACCAATGCAGAGCCGCCAAGTTCACGACTGGCTTGATGGACAAATAGAAAGGGGCATCCTCGTAGCGCATGGCTGGAGGCCGCCGCTGGGCATACTCCTTGTAGTCCTGGATGGGGCACGTCTGTGGGGCGTGCTGGGTGGCATACACACGGGAGTCCGTCCCCCCTCTCTTGGTTTTGGCATTCAGGTCGCCGGTGTCTTGACCCATCCACTCTAAGTATTCCAGCCCCGTCTCTGTGACCCGGAGCCGGATATCACCCCACTTCAAGGTAGATCCATGGAAGCCTGTGCAATGCCCAAAAGCCTTTGTGTTGTTGAGCCAGACGAGGTTGAGCAGGCCTTCGGGGTTATAGCGGCTTAGCAGTCCCCTTTTCCGCAGAATGAGCTCATCGGCAAAGGTGAGCTTCATGGACTTGTGTGGCTTATTTCCCTTTCCTTTGCAGCGGAGTTCAATCTGCTTCTGCTTCAGGGCCTCCTGGGAACGCTTGAATTCCTTATCCCTGGTGATACTGTAGCCATACCTGTGCTCTTTTAGGTACCGTTCGAGTCCACACTGGTAATTGGCCAAGCTGTTGGGTTCATATTCGGACCCATCCTTCTGCCTGGCATCTACAAAGAAAGAGGCAAGGTAGGCATCCAGCTCCTTGCAAGGGATGACATAGATCTCTCTTGTTTCCGAAGGGTACTTGGAGATGAGGAACTCGCGGAAATTGCGGAGCGCAGTCTGCGTGCTCCGGATGGTTTTCTCATTCTGCTCTCTGCTGAGCTCAGCTGCTCTTTCATCCTGGTCTGCAACAAATTGGGGAGGGGAGGGATAGAGAGGGTGTTGATGAGTTCAGACAATGCACTTTCTACTCTGAAATAAAGTTTCCTTTTATAATGAAAAGGGAAAGAAGGGATCAATTTTACAGAGGTCACTGGTAAATGTGACTTATATACCTGTTGCATTGTAATAGCCAACTGTTATATTCACAAGTGATGTACCAGACAAAAGCATGGCCCTTTGCAATCAAAATGAGCATCTTGTATCATTAGCACATAGTTTAGTGCGTGAAGGTTTGTGGAAAGAGTGAGATCAGAGGCTGCCTTTGTTTTAGGAGACATGTGAGACATTTAGGAGAACTTGAATTGGTAAGGTTGCTCAGCGAAAGGAAGTCTTTGTAATAACCACATACAACAGTAAAAATAAAATTTCTAATAAAATTTTATTCATAAAACACACTCCTTTTTGTGTACTGTACACATTTATAAACGATCATGTTATTTTAAAATGACAGTCCTAAGGTATAATTGCCAAAATCCTCATAACTTTATAAAATGAATTAAAATTCACTAAACTAGCAAATTAGACTTTTTATAGGCACATTTTTGAGATCATATTTCCAAAATTCAAATATACAAAGTATATTTTATGCTTCATTGGACTCAACTTTCAGTTATGCTAATTCCATTTGAAATTGTTTCTATATCAACAGTAAAGATGTGTATAAAAACGTGTCTCTTTCCATCAAAAAGATGGAAGCCACAGGTTACATGTAACCTTTATCATGATGGCTTCCTTTACTGTTTACATGTAAAGCCAAAGGGGCCAGCACATCTGTTTATTTTGACTACCTTGTTCAAATATCTATCACAGCGGTCTTCAAACTTCAAATAAAGACTTTCTAAGAAATAAACATTCACAGAAAACTTTGGGGAATAAAAGATCCAGTTCCTCAACTTTCCCATGGAATCTTTTCTAAAATGTATCTGTCTGAAATGAAGGCTTAGTTTGCACATGTTGCTATCTCAAATCTACCATGGTACATACACTGGGGTGTAAAAGACTTTGTGAGGCCAAACACAATTTATAAATTGGTGATTAAATTGGTAATGTTGCTTATCCTCTGTCTTATCCATATCCTAAATAGGTGAAATATACCATGAGAAACAGGGTAATTGGGCCTAAATTGTGTTCTGAATTCAGGACTTTTGAAAGGGGCTATTTATAGGCCAGTGAGGTTGATTCTTTTAATTCTATGAAATACTGATCCTATTTGCGGTCAATCTCATCTTCATTTTATATAATATTCAATATTTTCTACCTCCTTTTTACAAAAATACTCGAATTAAAACTAACATTGAAAACCTTAGGGTGTCCATTTAAGAATGAGTGAGTGGTATTCAGTTTCTCAAAGTTCTTTTCAAGGGTATGCGAATAAAATAAAATATTTTTTTAAAATATATATTTTATTGATTTTTTAGAGAGGAAGGGAGAGGGACAGAGAGTTAGAAACATCGATGAGAGAGAAACATCGATCAGCTGCCTCCTGCACATCCACTACTGGGGATGTGCCCGGAACCACGGTACATGCCCTTGACTGAAATCGAACCTGGGACCCTTCAGTCCGCAGGCCAATGCACTATCCACTGAGCCAAACCGGTTAGGGCCAAATAAAAGAATTTAAGTCTGTTGAACTTAAGCATCATTAGTTGGTATCCTCTAAGTAGAAGGGATGAGTGACCTTGGTTCTTTGAATGAGTGATCACTTATTTCTTGCTGTACCATCCACAAGAACCTTAATATTTATTAAATCTTACTCTAGGCTTTTCAAAAGGAGAAGCCATCCATAAAATCTAGTATAGGTATCCCCCCCTTTTGAAAGTCTGCATGATGCCACTTCACTTTTGCGAAAGACCTAGCACCTGTTTTTTGCTAATGAAATCTGAAGAGGATTTTCACTGTTGGAAAAGTAGCATTCAGTGTTGGTTTTGCAATGAGCTGTTACAGAAGCAGCACAAACTCTGAACAGCTAGCGTAATCCCACCAAGCTTCTTCCCTGGGAACTATACTCAGCATCTCAGCATCCAGCTGCCACAGCACTGAACTGTGTCTGAGCATCTGCGCTATGTATCTCGATTGATTTTGTGCATCCTTTAGCAAGATGTGTCCTAAGGTATAAGAAAGGCCAAGAGAGCTTGTCGGGTGGAAATGATGACCATGAAAACTGGGCACAAATTAAGATCTTCAATCATGGTGAATGAAATAAGGACATATAAGTCAATGGTAAGTGTTTATTCACTCTACGCCATTTGGTTTAAGACAATTTTTATTGGAATGCTCTATGGGAGAAACATGCACAATGAAATGGGTCTGAAAAAACCCAAGGGTCTGTGACTCGAAGGGGGGCCTAAGGAGGAGCCCCAACACTGGCTCAGGAACTCTTATGGAGACCCTGGGTAAGGTTTTTACAGACCAACTTCCTGTACTTATTTACATAGTCTTCATGGCCCATTAATCTAATTATTATCTCCCTTGTTAGGAGATGGGATGGGAAAACATAATTAGAGCAGTATCTTGTCTTCTCACTTAATTTGAGATTTAGGTTACATTTTTTTTTTTAGATTTATGTTAGATTTAAATTCAGATCCATTTGCTTCTATTGCTATAGCACGCAACAGAAAATAAACTCAGCTATCACACTCCTTTTATGATTTTATGAAAGTAATACATCTGAAGCAATAAAACACATTTCTCGATGTTTAACTTATTTATTATTTTCATTTAAGAGTATTTGGTATTCTCACTAGCTAGAGAAAACAAATGATATTCAAATTCTCCTTATAAATCACTAAATGATAAATCCATCAGCTTACTAAATAAAAATATATTTTAAATTTGGAAAGTAAAAGAAAAGGTAAAAAGAAATCAGGTGAGTAGATTTACATTTATGAAGCTGCAGCTGGAATGAATATTTAATCCACATGTGTGGGTACCCACGGTGCGCCCTAGCATTTCAAGAAGACCTGTGGGGTGTAGTCAAAGGTAAGTCCCTGATGGTTCTGTAGATTCCATCATAACTAGACGAGATGACTATTACACATAAAACTAATTTTAAAAAAACCATACATGGCTGTATAATTAGGAAAGAGTTTGTGGCTCTAGTCTAGATCGTATAGGAATTCAGAAAGAAAAAAGAGAGAAGTCAAATAGAGCTTGAGCAAGGTATTAAAGGATGGGTACCGTTTGGCTAATTAGGATAGGAAGGTAGGGCATTCCAGGAAGAAACTGCATGAGCAAAGGGAAAGAGATGAGAAGGAATCTGGCTTATGCTTATGAGGACTGTAAAACCTCTATCCTGGTTTGGGGATGGGAGAAGGGTTGGAGGGGGGAATAAAGCTAGACCAGTAGGATGACCACATGGAGAGTTGTACATAGTCATTATAAATATAACACCAAAGAGAGGAGACTGGATATTTTAAGTGCAAAGAACCTCTAAATGCCATGAAAAAGCTGATTTTGGGGAGAACAAAATCAATACCCCAATTCTCTACCTTCGAGATTCTTTATTCCCCTTATTTTGTTATTTTCTTCCACATACCTACCGCCATCTGACATACTTTACATGTTTACTTGATAACCTGCTTAGCATATGTCTCTCCCGAGTGGGCTGTGAGCTCCGTAGGAGCCAGGACTACACAGCTTTATTCAAGGTCTGGAAAAGCACTCGAGAATATAGCATTCGTTAAAAACGTGTCGACTGAATTAACACAGAAGCTGACAGGAAAGTTACTGGGATAACTCTGTGTGTGTAATTACACAATTCACTTTAGACCGTTTAGAAAGGATTAAACAACAATCAGTGGCATAAAATTAAACTTTGGGACTCACAAGCATGATCTCAGTCACTTTGTTAAGGCTCTTCAGAGAGTTGCCTTGGTCAGGGCAGGTGATGTGGACATCTGTAATAACGGTACAGGATGGCTTATGAGGCCCCTGGGAGCTTCTCGCTGGGCTAATTCTCCAGGAAATAAAGACTTATCAGCCATTGCACAAATTGCTCCAAGACAGTATCTTTATCTCACTCTTAGGATGAGGAAAAAAATAATAATACTTTAATAAAAGTCCATACTAGAATTAATATATCCATAAAATCAAGTGTAGCTCCCTCCCTTCAATCCTGACCTCCACTTTAAAAAGAGATTATACTGCCTGGCTGGTGTGGCTCAGTGGTTGAGCACTGACCCATGAACAAGGAGGTCAGGGTTTGGTTCTTGGTCGGGGCACATGCTGGACAGTGGGCGCCATCCTCAGTAGGGGGCCTGCAGGAGGCAGCCGATCAATGATTCTCATCAGCATTGATGTGTCTCTCTATCCTTCTCCCTTCCTCTCTCTGAAATCAATAAAAATATTTTTTAAACTATTCAAACAATAAATAAATAAAAAGAGATTATACTGACATTATGGTGTCACCTATTAGGTACTTAACTTCTTCCATACATATATTCATTTGAAAGATGTTTTCTTATGACTCTTTCTAGGTTCAAAGAAAATGATCTTGGTATTAAAAAAAAACACCACAACAACCCTGGTTGGTAACCTCAGGAAATAGGCCAACTTCAATTTTATTTGTCTGGGGTTACAAAAATCGTATTTGCCAACATTCTTATTTCATTTTTTAGAACAGCAATAGTTCCTAACCTCTACCATTTATTAAAAAAATAATGAGGTAGATTTACTTTAAAAGCGAAAAACAAATTTATATATAAACCTTATAGCTACCATAAAATACATTTAAAAATCAGTGTCTTCTTTCTCCTTTAAACACACAACTCCTTGCACATTCTTATGTTTTCTCCTAAACTTTAAAACACAGGCTAGCTTTCTAGGATTGTTAAGGTCACTAATTGAAGCCAGGCTTGCAGGCTATTATAGCTATCTGACCAGCAAATTATTTTTATGCTCGATTAATCTTTTCCCACAGTGGGCATAAAACACATTTCCTACATAAACATTCAGGAGCATGAAA